TCTGAGAACTTATTATCAGGACTTGAACACTGATCATGAACTTGTTTTAAGTCTGTTTATGTAAAATTTTGCCTCCTTAAACTTATTTCCAGCCCATGAACTCTTCCCACAGATGCTTCATTCTCGTCAAGAGGTCGTTTGTTTTAAGAGAACTTGGTAAAAGTAAAATGATCTTGCTGCGTGGACGGATCATTTCATGACTTTTGAGTCGTTTTTTGATAGATTTGAAGAAGTGTTTATATCTTACATTTTGGGCCAAGTTTTTTTTTTTTTTTTGCAGTGTAGGCCATGTGGGAGAAGTGTCTTGCCAAAGGACACAACAGCAGCTGCACTGATCCACATGAGGTTTTAGGTTTCAGCCTTTGCACAAATGCTCCACACTGACACAAAACCTCCAGAAATAATGAGAATTTATTGAGCTACTGATGTTTCATGTTGCTAAAAATATCTGGAAAAGTGTCCACAGATCTGAGCTGTAAGTCACCAGCCCGTCACTATGGAGACGCAGACAGTGTGTGATGGGCCTGCCACCAGAAATGTTACATAATGCTGCTTTAAGAAATGAACACAGTTCACACTTGGTCCTGGTTTAGTCCTAGTACAGTCCTGGTCTAGTCCTGGTTTGGACCTGGCTTAGACCTGGTTTGGACCTGGTTCAGTCCTGGTTCAGTCCTGGTTCAGTCCTGGTTTAGTTCTGGTTTAGTCCTGGTTCAGTCCTGATTCAGTCCTGGTTCAGTCCTGGTTAGTCTGGTTTAGTTTAGTCCTGGTTTAGTTTAGTCCTGGTTTAGTCCTGGTTTAGTCCTGGTTTATTCAGTCCTGGGTAGTCTAGTCCTGGTCTAGTCTCGGTTTAGTCCTGGTTTAAGTTTAGTCCTGGTCTAGTCTCGGTTTAGTCCTGGTCTAGTCTTGGTTTAGTCCACGCCCAGACTATTCTCAGTGTACAGTTGAAGTCTCAAGTGTCTGTCCTTTTGTCCTTTTTTTGTCCTTTTGTCCTTTTGTCCTTTTGTCCTTTTCTTGTGTGTTGTGTTTTTGTTGTGTGTTTGTGTATGTTTGTTTCAGTGTTGTGTGTTTCATGTGTTTGTGTGTGTGTTTCAGTGTGTGTTTTTGTGTGTTTGTGTGTGTTTGTGTGTTTGTGTATAACAGTGTTGTGTATTTCAGGTTTTGTGTGTTGTGTGTTTTTGTTGTATGTTTTTTGTTGACTTCGTTTGTGTGTGTGTGTTTCAGTGTTTGTGTTTTCATGTTGTTGTGTTTGTGTGTGTTTCATGTTTTTTTGTTGTGTTTCATGTGTGTTGTTGTGTTTGTGTGTTGTGTTTCATGTTTTGTTTTGTTTGTGATTGTGTTGTGTGTGTTTCAGTGTTGTGTGTTTGTGTGTTGTGTGTTTTTGTTGACTCGTGTGTTGTGTTTCAGTGTTTGTTGTGTTGTTGTTGTTTGTGTAGTGTTGTGTGTTTCAGTGTTGTTGTGTTTCAGGTGTTGTTTGTGTTTGTGTGTTTTGTTGTGTGTTTTTGTTGACTCGTGTTGTGTGTGTTTCAGGTTGTTGTGTTGTTGTGTGTTGTGTGTTTGTGTTTTGTATGTTTGTGTTTTTGTTGACTCGTGTTGTATGTTTCATGTTGTGTGACTCTTGTTGTGTGTTTTTGTTGTGTGTTTTTGTTGACTCGTGTTGTGTGTTTCAGGGTTCGGGCCGTTCGGGGAGCACACGGTCAACGCCAGCTGGGTGGCGGTGCAGGTGAGTCCGTCTGTCACACGTTTATCAAACAGTTTAAACCTGATTTTTACTTTTACTGTCTGAAAAAAAACCCAAAAAAAAACAGAATTTATTCATTTTAAAGTGGCTCAAAAGTTCTTCTAGTGTCCTGATTATTCACGGTGATGAGTTTATAAAAGTTTTTTTCAGAACTTTCAGAGACCAGAGCCGAGTCCAGAGTCTCTGTGACAGGAATACGAACAACAACTAGCATGCTAATGACCCACTTACTGATTTTCAGATTGTGAAACACTTGAATTTATTCTGACCTCGAGCGCGACTATCTGTTCTGGAGTGAGTCCTGGTCTAGTCCTGGTCTAGTCCTGGTCTAGTCCTTGTACAGTTCTGATCTAGTCCTGATATACAGTAGTTCTGGTTTAGTCCTGGTTTAGTTCAGGTACAGTCCTGGTTTAGTTCTGGTATAGTCCTTATTTAGTCCTGGTTTAGTTCTGGTCTAGTCCTGGTTTAGTTCTGATTTAGTCCTGGTTTAGTTCTGGTCTAGCTCTTGTTTAGTCCTGGTTTAGTCCTGGTTCAGCCCTGGTTTAGTCCTGGTTTAGTCCTGGTTTAGTCCGGGTTTAGTCCTGGTTTAGTCCTGGTTTAGTCCTGGTTTAGTCCGGGTTTAGTCCTGGTTTAATCCTGGTTTAGTCCTGGTTGTTTTGGTCTAGTTATGGTCTTGTTTTGGTCTAGTTCTGGTCTGGTTTTGGTCTAGTTCTGGTCTTGTTTTGGTCTGTTTCTGGTCTTTTTTGGTCTAGTTCTTGTCTTGTTTCTGGTCTATTTCTGGTCTTGTTTTTGGTTCTCTAGTTCTGGTCTTGTTCTGGTCTTGTTTTGGTCTAGTTCTGGTCTAGTTCTGGTCTTGGTTTTTGGTCTTGTTTTGGTCTAGTTCTGGTCGTTTTGTGTTTGGTCTAGTTCTGGTCTTGTTTTGGTCTAGTTCTGGTCTGTTTTGGTCTTGTTTGTTTGGTCTTGTTCTGGTCTAGTTCTGGTCTGTTTTGGTCTTGGTCTGTTCTTGGTCTAGTTTTGGTCTAGTTTTGGTCTAGTTTTGGTCTTGTTTTCTGGTCTTGTTTTGTCTTGTTGGTCTTGTTTTGGTCTAGTTCTGGTCTTTTCTGGTCTTGTTTTGGTCTAGTTCTGGTCTTGTCTTTCTGGTCTTGTTTTGGTCTTGTTTTTGGTCTTGTTCTGGTCTTGTTCTGGTCTGTTTCTGGTCTTGTTTTGGTCTAGTTCTGGTCTAGTTTTGGTCTAGTTCTGGTCTTGTTTTGGTCTAGTTCTGTGGTCTTGTTGGTCTGGTCTGGTCTTGTTTTGGTCTAGTGGTCTGGTCTAGTTCTGGTCTTGTTTTGGTCTAGTTCTGGTCTTTGGTCTTTTTTGGTCTAGTTCTGGTCTTGTTTTGGTCTTGTTCTAGTGGTCTTGTTTTGGTCTTGTTCTGGTCTTGTCTTTTGGTCTTGTTTTGGTCTAGTTGGTCTGGTCTTGTTTTGGTCTAGTTTTGGTCTAGTTCTGGTCTTGTTTTGGTCTTTTGGTCTTGTTTGGTCTAGTTCTGTCTTGTTTTGGTCTAGTTCTGTTCTTGGTTGTTTGTCTGTTTTTGGTCTAGTTCTGGTCTTGTTTTGGTCTGTCTGTTCTTGTTTTGGTTTTGGTCTTGTTCTTGTTTTGTCTAGTTCTGGTCTTGTTTCTGGTCTGGTCTTGTTGTTTCTGGTCTGTTCTGTTCTGGTCTTGTTTTGGTCTAGTTCTGGTCTTGTTTTGGTCTCTAGTTCTGGTCTTGTTTTGGTCTAGTTTTCTTGGTCTAGTTCTGGTCTGTTTTGGTCTAGTTCTGGTCTTGTTTTGGTCTAGTTCTGGTCTTGTTTTCTGGTCTTGTTTTGGTCTAGTTCTGGTCTAGTTCTGGTCTTGTTTTGGTCTAGTTCTGGTCTAGTTCTGGTCTTGGTCTTGTTCTGGTCTTGTTTTGGTCTAGTTCTGGTCTTGTTCTGGTCTTGTTTTGGTCTAGTTCTGGTCTTGTTTTGGTCTTGTTCTGGTCTTGTTTTGGTCTAGTTCTGGTCTTGTTTTGGTCTAGTTCTGGTCTTGTTCTGGTCTTGTTCTGGTCTTGTTTTGGTCTTGTTCTGGTCTTGTTTGTCTTGGTCTAGTTCTGGTCTTGTTCTGGTCTAGTTCTGGTCTTGTTTGGTCTTGTTCTGGTCTTGTTTTGGTCTATTTGGTCTTGTTTTGGTCTTGTCTGTTTTGGTCTGTTTTGTCTGGTCTTGTTTTGGTCTTGTTTTGGTCTTCTTGTTTGGTCTTGTCTGGTCTTGTTTTGGTCTAGTTCTGGTCTTGTTTTGGTCTAGTTCTGGTCTTGTTTTGGTCTAGTTCTGGTCTTGTTTTGGTCTTGTTCTGGTCTTGTTTTGGTCTAGTTCTGGTCTTGTTTTGGTCTAGTTCTGGTCTTGTTTTGGTCTAGTTCTGGTCTTGTTTTGGTCTAGTTCTGGTCTTGTTTTGGTCTAGTTCTGGTCTTGTTTTGGTCTAGTTCTGGTCTTGTTTTGGTCTAGTTCTGGTCTTGTTTTGGTCTTGTTCTGGTCTTGTTTGTTCTGTCTTGTTTTGGTCTGTTTTGGTCTAGTTCTGGTCTTGTTTTGGTCTAGTTCTGGTCTGTTTTTGGTCTAGTTCTGTTCTTGTTTTGGTCTAGTTCTGGTCTTGTTTTGGTCTTGTCTTCTGGTCTTGTTTGGTCTAGTTCTGGTCTTGTTCTGGTCTTGTTTTGGTCTAGTTCTGTCTTGTTTTGGTCTTGTTCTTCTTTTGGTCTAGTTCTGGTCTTGTTTGGTCTAGTTCTGGTCTTGTTTTGGTCTTGTTCTGGTCTTGTTTTGGTCTTGTTCTGGTCTTGTTTGGTCTTGTTCTTGGTCTTGTTTTGGTCTAGTTCTGGTCTTGTTTTGGTCTAGTTCTGGTTCTGGTCTTGTTTTGGTCTAGTTCTGTCTTGTTTTGTCTTGTTTTGGTCTTTGTTCTGGTCTTGTTTTGGTCTTTTGGTCTAGTTCTGTCTTGTTCTGGTCTGTTTCTGGTCTTGTTTTGGTCTAGTTTGGTCTAGTTCTGGTCTTTTTGTTTGGTCTTGTTCTGGTCTTGTTTTGGTCTAGTTCTGGTCTTGTTTTGTCTAGTTCTGGTCTCTGTCTTGGTCTGTTCGTCTTGTTTTGGTCTAGTCCTGGTCTAGTCTGTGGTCTTGTTTGGTCTTTTGGTCTTGTGTCTTGGTCTGGTCTCTGGTCTAGTCTTGTGTCCTGGTCTTCTGGTCTGTCTGGTCTTGTTGTTCTAGTCCTTGGTTTGTCCTTCTTTCTGGTCTCTGTCTAGTCCTGGTCTAGTTTCTTGTCCTGGTCTAGTCTGTCTGGTCTAGTCCTGTCTTGTCTGTCTGTCCTGGTCTAGTTGGTCTATCCTGTCTTGTCCTTGTCCTGGTCTGTCCTGGTCTAGTCCTTCTGGTCTTGTCCTGTGGTCTAGTCCTGGTCTAGTCCTGTCTTGTCCTGGTCTAGTCCCTGGTCTAGTCCTGGTCTGGTCCTGGTCTAGTCCTGGTCTAGTCCTGTCTAGTCTGTCTTTCCTGGTCTAGTCCTGTCTGGTCCTGGTCTAGTCCTGGTCTAGTCCTGGTCTCCTGGTTTGTCTGTCTGTCTGTCTAGTCTTGGTCTGTCCTGGTCTAGTCCTGGTCTAGTCCTGGTCTATCCTGGTCTGTCTTGTCCTGGTCTAGTCTGGTCTTGTCCCTGGTCTAGTCCTGGTCTAGTCCTGTCTAGTCCTGCTAGTCCTGTATAGTCCTGGTCTAGTCCTGGTCTAGTCCTGGTCTAGTCCTCTGTCTGGTCTTGTCCTGTCTTGTCCTGTCTAGTCCTGGTCTAGTCCTGGTCTGTCCTGGTCTTGTCCTGTCCTGTCTAGTCCTGTCTATCCTGTCTGTCCTGGTCTATCCTGGTCTAGTCCTGGTCTTGTCCTGGTCTAGTCCTGGTCTAGTCTGTCTGGTCTGTCCTGTCTAGTCCTGGTCTGTGTCCTGTTAGTCCTGGTCTAGTCCTGGTCTCGGCATGTTTGTGGGTCCCGGTGGCAGCTCCTGGGGGGGCTGGGTGCTGGGTGCTGTGTGGGCGGTGGGCGGGTGTCATGGAGGGTGTCACGGTGTCTAGACGCTCCTGATGAGGATATTAAAGCCAAACAAAGGGGTGAGCGGGGTCAGGGTCAGGGGTCAGAGGTCAGGGGTTAGCTGTCCGAGCAGAGAGGGGCGGGGCTTCGGACGCTCGTCTGTCCAGGTTTATTTACGACGATCGTTTGGTTCACACGTTTGGGTTCATCCCAGTCCTGGTTTAGACCTGGTTTAGACCTGGTTCAGTCCTGGTTTAGGTCTGGTTTAGTCCTGGTTTAGACCTGGTCTAGTCCTGGTTTAGACCTGGTTTAGTCCTGGTCTAGTCCTGGTTCAGTCCTGGTTTAGTCCTGGTCTAGACCTGGTTCAGTCCTGGTTTAGTCCTTGGTCTAGTCCTGGTTTCAGTCCTGGTTTAGTCCTGGTTTAGAGTCCTGGTTTCTAGTCCTGGTCTAGTTTAGTCCTGGTTTAGTCCTGGTTAGTCCTAGTCCTGGTTAGACCTGGTTAGTCCTTTAGTCCTGGTCTAGACCTGGTTCAGTCCTGGTTTAGTCCTGGTCTAGACCTGGTTCAGTCCTGGTTTAGTTAGTATGGAGTTTAAAAACACAGCACTTCCTGTATTACCACATGACATCACAAGGTGGATCTGAGTGTTAAACATGAATGAAAAAAACAAAAAAAACAACTCGAGTTGACGACTTTAGAACATCAGAAAATAGTGAAATATGAACCTTTAATAGTTTTTTATTTGTGACCATTTGCTCAATATTCAACGACTCTAAAGCTTCAATCAGGATTTTGAAAATATGTTCAGACTCTGTGTCGCCCTCTGCTGGACACGGCGGGGAAATGTGCCTTTAAACGACCAATATTACTCTAAAATAAACTCCTGTGAACTTAATGTCGGACAGAGTTGTGTTGGTTTAGTCACAAACAGTTTGGAGTTGTGTTTGATGTGCTCTGTGTTCTGTTAAACCTGATGTAGAACCTGTCTGATCATCTGCTCCTCTCTGTGTTTGTGTTTCTCTGTGTGTTTGTTTGTGTGTTTGTGTGTGTGTGTTTGTGTTTGTTTGTGTGTTTTAGGAGTTGAAGAAGTTGGGTCTGGGCTCGGGCGTGGACCTTCACGTGTACGAGGTTCCTGTGGAGTATCACACGGTGCAGACTCTGGTGCCGGCTCTGTGGGAGCAGTACCACCCTCTGGTGAGAGAACAACTACACAACAACTACTACGCTACACAACAACAACAACAACAACAACAACAACAACAACACACAAACAACAACAACTAACAACTAACAACAACTAACAACTACTACACTACAACAACAACAACAACAACTACAACAACACAACAACAACAACAACAACAACAACTACACAACAACAACAACACTACACAACTACAACAACAACTACAACAACTAACACTAACAACTACTACGCTACAACAACAACAACAACAACTACTAACAAACAACAACAACAACACTACTCAACAACAACAACTAACAACTACAAACAACAACTATAACAACTACTAACAACTAACAACAACAACTAACAACAACAACAACACTACTACTACAACAACAACAACTACAACAACAAACTACAACAACAACTACAACAACAACAACAACAACTACTACTACAACAACAAAACAACAACAACAACAACAACAACAACAACTACACAACTAACACACTATAACAACTACAACAATTACAATAACAACTACACAACAA